CCGGATGATTCCGGATCTCCTTACTTTCCGCCGCGCCCTCAAGACATGGCTTTTCCAACAAGCGGGCCTGGCCTAGGGAGGATTTTAAATTGGGTTTCTTAGAAATTTTAATTACCACAACTCTAAAATATTGGTTTTAATTTGGTTTTATTCGGTGGGGTGTGTGGGTTTGTTTTTGTTTTTAAAAATGTTGTGAGCCACCCTGAGTCCTTCGGGAGAAGGGCGGGATACAAATTGAATAAAATGAAAATGAAATGAAATGAAAAGCTGCCCAGGACCAGACTGGCTGGCACTGGACTTGTGCGCATGCGCATGGTGTGAAGAAAGGGCTTTCCTATTGGCTGGACTGCCTGGGGGTTGGAAAACTATAAAAGGCCTGCGTGTCTGTTTGCAGAGTTGAGTGAAGTTAAGGAGCAATAAAAGAAGTTGATCACAACCATGTCTCGTGTTTCCATGCCTCGAACCTCAAAACACAAAAATCACCACTACTATTTGTTATTGCACTGTTTCCTCTGTCAACAATACTGAATAACTCAGGACATGGCTATCAAACATCAAAAATATCTGCCAGACTATCCCACCTCCTTTACATGGATGATCTGAAGCTGTATGAAAAAACATCATCTGAAATAATTGCTGCTCAACACTGTCCGTATATGTATAGCCAAGATATTGCAATGGAGTTTGGCTTGGACAAATGTGCCACACTTATTATCAAACAAGGAACAATAGTGAAAACTGAAGAAATCAAGATGCCCCACGAAAATAACATTAAGAGCCTGGATGAGGAAGATTACTACAAATTCTTGGGTATCCTTCAAGCTGACAACATCAAGCACACTGAAGTCACGAAAAAGATTAGAGGTGAATACATCAAGAGAGTGAAGAAGATATTGAAGTCCAAACTCAATGGAGGAAATACCATGAAGGCAATCAACATCTGGGCAATTCCAGTCATTAGATACACAGCTGGAATAGTGGACTGGACTCAAGCAGAACTAAAAGCAATGGATAGGAAGACCAGAAAAATAATGACAGTGAATCATGCCCTTCATCCACACAATGACATTGACAGACTCTATCTACCAAGACAAATAAGTGGGCATGCAAGTACATCAGATGGTTGAAGAAGAAAAAATGGCTTTGGAAGAATATCTGAAGGACAATGATGAAGATGCACTGAAATTAGTATATCAGGAAGGCTTACTGACTACTGGAGAAACCAAACTGGCCTACAAGAAAGACAAAATGAAGAACAGAATAGAGACATGGAAGACAAAGCACTACATGGCCTGTACATTTTAAAAATAGTTGTGAAAGCAGATAATAACAAGACCCGGCAATGGCTAAAAGCAGAAAAATTGAAGAAAGAGACCGAGGGACTAATTCTGGCTGCATAAGACCAAGTCTTAAGGACAAATGCATACAAAGTCAAAATTGAGAAGACAGCAACAGACAGTAAGTGCCACCTATGCAAAGAAGCTAAGAAAACAGTGGACCACCTGGTAAGCTGCTGCAAGAAGATCACACAGACTGACTACAAGCAGCGGTATGACAAGGTAGCAACAATGGTGCATTGGAAGATCTGCAAGAAATATCATTTGCCTGTAACCAAGAACTGGTGGGATCATAAAATAGAGAAAGTCATAGAAAATGATAAAATCAAACTGCTCTGGGACTTCAGAATTCAAATAGACAAGCACCTGCAACATAACACCCCGGACTTAACAATTGTCGATAAGACAAAAAAGTCTGGATAGTGGATGTAGCAGTGCCTGGAGACAGCAGAATAGACGAGAAAGAACTGGAGAAGATAACAAAATACAAAGACCTACAAATAGAAATAGAAAGACTGTGGCAAAGGCAAGCAAGGGTAGTACCAATAGTAATAGGTGCTTTGGGTGCAATCCCAAAACAACTGGAGTATCACTTGAACACCATTGGCATTGACAAATTCCCATGAGTCAATTGCAAAAGGCAGCCTTACTAGGAACTGCTTCCATCCTGCAATGATATCTGTAATACCATCAAACATCCACATTTGCCTATCCCAGGTCTTTGATAAGGACTCAATAGGTAGACAAAAATGTCAAATCCAGTCTAAACATCTGGCTAACTGTGCAATAATTAATAATAATAATAATAATAATAATAATAATAATAATAATAATAGTAGTAGTAGTAGTAGTAGTAGTAGTAGTAGTAGTAATAATAATAATAATAATAATAATAATAATAATAATAATAATAATAATAATAATAATAATAATAATAGTAGTAGTAGTAATAATAATGTTGGAAGGGACCTTGGAGGTCTTCTAGTCCAACCCCCTGCTCAGGCAGGAAACCCTATACCATTTCAGACAAATGGCTGTCCAGTCTCTTCTTAAAAACTTCCAGTGTTGGAGCATTCACCACTTCTGGAGGCAGGTTTTACTCTCCAGGTTTTACTCACCCTTCCCAGCAAGGAACTTATCCAGAAACACTTCCCAGTTTCCTGGATGTGGCAAGGTTTTGTTCATGTGATGAAAGTGGAAATATGAAACCACAGTGTCCTTGACATTCCTGGCGATATAGATTACCTGAACAAAAGGGGCAAACAAGGAAGAATGCAAAAGCAATTCTCAAGCCATTCCTTCCCTCCCGCTCCTATATGAGGTAATGCCTGTAGTCTACCTATAGTGTTTAGTCCATAAAGAAGAAAAGGAAAGGCCAAGCCACAAACATTGTAAGAACTCCTAACCACATACAAACTCTGAAAGTTGAATGAGAAGCATTGATTTGGTCAAGATTTCATAAATTCTTCATCAAGTCACAGATACCAAAACTGTGCCCAATGTCCTATTAAGTTAAGTTAAGTTCTCACTCTGCACTTCTTCGTGACCATCCTCTCCTTTACCCACAATCAAGCCAGGAAATAGAAGGAGGTGCTGACATGGAATCTCAATTTGGATTAAGCCGTTTTCCTGCCATTCCCTCCCAATGGTCCTGACCTTGCACTTTTGTTCCCAAAAGGATGGAGCCAGGAGATGAACCGGCAGGTGACTTTTGAGTGAGCGTGGAGAAGGCCTTGCTTCTGCATAGTCCAAGTCTGAAACAATGGGGACAAAACGTTCAGGCAGGTTTTGACAAGATTTTCATCATCCTCACCATAGATACTCACCTGAAGGAAAGGTGATTGGAGGAAACATATCCAAAAAGGGCATCCGCTTGTAGATGGGGGCTCGAGCACATTTCTGCAGATTGTCTGCATTTTGGATCATGTCCACAGTCTCTTGCAACCAGGTGCTCCCTAGAAAGAAGAGGAGAGAGTAGAAAATGGAGAGTTCATAGCAAGTGTAAAACCTTGAGGGTCTACTCTTCCATGGGGCATCCAGAGCAGGGTCAAGAAATTCAAGATGGCAGTCAATATGAATTGAAACTCTCTTTCTATCTCTCTCATGTTTTAAAAGGGGTAGGGCTTCAATTGTGTGGTCATGACTGCCATCTTGACCACCCTTTCCATCCTCTCTCCATCATCCAGATGTTTATAGTTGCTACAGAAAGAGCTTCTGAGAAACCATCTTTACCCTAAGAAGGGAAAAAGTAGATTAAGGTTAAATCCAATAAGAAAGAAAGAAAGAAAGAAAGAAAGAAAGAAAGAAAGAAAGAAAGAAAGAAAGAAAGAAAGAAAGAAAGAAAGAAAGAAAGAAAGAAAGAAAGAAAATCACATTATGGTTGGTTTCTGAACGTTTCGTTAGCAGGCTAGGTAACATCTTCAGCGGAGTTTAGGGGATGTCAGTGTCAGTGTTATTCTGTTTACAAGGGCTTTGTGTGATCAGTAGGTAAATGTTAAATGAACCAGTTAGCCCCTCATTCTTTGAATCCCCAGCTCCATTCAGTGTCAGTTGCTGTATCATTCCACTGAAGATGTCACCTAGCCTGCTAACAAAACGTTCGAAAACCATCCCACAAGCACAGAGAACAAATCTTCACCCTCATCCTATACCTGGGCTACAGATATTAACCATTATTGCAGATCATATCATCCCAGAGAGATAATAGATGTAGGAAAAATCAGAATACAATGGACCAGAGTACATGCAGTATATTTAGAAATAGAAATAGAAATAATAGAAATAGAAATAGAAACGGAATGGAATGGAATAGAATAACAGAGTTGGAAGGGACCTTGGAGATCTTCTATCCAGTTGCTCAGGCAAAAAACACTATACCATTTCAGATAAATGATTGTCAAATTTCCATCAGCCTGGTCTACTAAATCAATTATCATCAAAGTGATTTTCCCCTTTTCCTTCCTCAAGCCTTTTCTTTTGCTCTAGTATCAGTTGTTTTGTAAGCCCAACAACAAAAACAGTCCAATTATGTTTTTTGTGTGTCCTTTTACTAATGAATTCCTTAAATATTATTTAAATAAAATGTTTAAGTAGCACAGCATGTAGACCTTTATTTCCAGGGTCTTTTGGGGGAGGAACCCTCTCTCCACTTTGATGTCAGGGTCCCCTATTTATCTCCCTGACGATTACCTGCTTTGGGGTAAGAGCAGATGAGAAGATCATCCGGTCGTGCCTGGAAGCTTTTTATCTGATCCCAGTGTTCTGCAGTTGTGGTGGGCAAAGAAACTCCTTCAATCTCTATAAGTGAGCAACGTGTGACAAATTTGGGGTCCAAATCTTCCAGGGTAGAAGGTAGCTCCATATTCTGGTTGTGGAGGAAAAAAAAAAATATCAGTAAATTTTGCTTCCCGGATTTTATCCCAGTGCCTTTCCTTTGCTTCGTTCAATTTTTTGATCTTACCAGCAGGTAAAGATTATTCTGTTCCTCCAACGTCCCTGTCCTTCAGGCCAACCAATAATTCTTCTTTTTATATGCCTCGGGTTTGGCTTTCTTCCAGGTCTGTAGACCCCAAGCGCCTGAGTAGTAAAGACTGAAATGGAGAAAAATGCTTACTTACTGATATTACTTAATCCTAAGTCTACATGTTGAGCCTGGACCTTCCCCTATGCTAAATGAACAACTTAGCCACTCATCCTTTGAGTCCCCAGCTCCATTCAGTGTCAGTTGCTCCATTCAGTGTCAGTATCGGTTGAGAAATGATTCCAGATGTGCTGATTGCCAGAGAGGAGAGAGAGGAGGCACATCCACTATTGTTATCACTGGTTGCTAAAATGTTGCTGTTGTTTAACAAAATACTTATTCAAAACAAAAGTCCCTTATGCTTCTATGTAGGTGATAGTAAAATAAATACATTAAATATACTTTTTCCTAGGGTTTGGAATCTTTTTGCATTATTTAGGAAAACTTCCACATCCCTCCTATCCTGGGTGCAAACAGTGTTCTGTATAACAGTGTTCTGTACAATTAGCTATGGTAGCTAATATGATTGAGCCGAATAGGATCCTTAGCTCACCATTTAACTAGAATGTCTAGGGTGGGCAGGGGCTGTATGGTGTATGTGCAAAATAAGCTCTGCCAATCTAAAAGTGAAAATAAATGCCAGCCCTGCCCAAGTTTATCCAGGAAAAATGAAGCTGACATCTGAATCACTTCTCAACTGATACAGCAACTGAGTTGGGGACTCAAAGGTTGAGGTGCTGTATCATTCATTAAGAGTTTCCAGAAACAGGTTCTAGATGGTTGAATCAAAGTGAATTAATTTCATTTTGTACAAGTAGAGAAACTATAATTTAGCAACCTGTCCTTTGACTAACACCTAGGCGAGATGTCTTTTCATTTCAAGTTAGTTCCAAGGTGACTATCAGATTGGAAATGGAGAATTCCACCTTCTTATACAGATTATTCCTTCCAAGCGATGTATCTTAAATTTGAGTCAGAGAGAATTTGAAGCAGGTCATTATGCACCCAAAGATGGAAGTCTCTTCTTCCAATAGTACTGAGAAGAACTGGGCATTCATTAGAATTTTACTTTTCACCTGACTTTCTTACTTGCATTTACCTCAAGGTAAATGGAAAATAGCAGTACTATGGAAGAGGAGCAAGATGAACTTAACAAGGTAATGGCAAGACAGAAATGGAAGACGTTATATGGAATCTGATGGCCACTGTTTAATTATGGAATGTACATATTTGTTTTCTTACTCCATTCTGCCATAGATTTATAGGATATAGGAAACTATAGATAAGATCCAATATGTAGAACTACAGATTTGGACTCAAGTTCCAATCAGCTGACAAATTACCTTCAGGGAGCAATTCATTCCAAAATCCACAACAGGTGCAATTGCATAATTTTCCAGAACACCAGGGTAATTTCTTTATCCCTTTGTTTGAGTTAGTAAATAGGATAAGAAAGCATTCGTGTTTTTCTATTGTTGTGTGTGTCAGATTAGTGTTCAGAATGAGGAAACATTCTTCTTTTTTTATTTTTCAAGGAAGCCATGGAAGCCGAAAATCATATTTGCAAGTGTGCTTGCCTTGCTAATTTAAAGATAAAATTTGCAAACCTTTAATAAGTTAACTCTATATAATAACAAATAAGCACCATGTGTAGATCTTAATTTAGTTTGTTTGTGCTCAAGAGTTCATATACACATGTGTGCGCTCACATCACACTCCCCCAGCATATCTCTCTCTCTCTCTGTGTGTGTGTGTGTGTGTCTTTGAGTCACCTGGTGAGTGCCTGGACAGGTTCCTGCAGATTTTCAACAGTAGTTTGCCATTGCCTGTTTCCTAGGGCTGAGAGAAAGTGACTGGTCCAAGCCTATCCAACTGGCTTCATGCGGAACTTAAACTCAGTCTCCCAGTGTCTAGCCTGGTGCCTTAACATTAAACTGATTAACGTCCTTTAGTTGTACTGGATGGGAATTTTGCAGGACAGTAAATAGATTAAAGACGGTGTCAGGAGCTCATGAATTCTAGTTCTGCGTTAGACACAAACCCAGTTGGATGATTTGATGCCAATCACTTTCTCCCAGCCCTAGTAAGAAAATAGCATCAAGTTACTTTCAAAACATTTTTTAAAAAATCCAGCAAGCATTTATTCTTTACCAGAAGTCAGGGTTCACTCAGTTAACCATAACAACCCCAAAACAACTTCCTGGCACTTAATTACTAGGCTCTATATATGAGAAAGATAGCATGTAGCCTTTCAGACCATCCCCAAATAAGATTTGCAAGAGATAAATTAATGTCAATGTTAGATTGTGTCTAGGCCTAAGGTCATATTTGGCCTCAAAAATGAATGTCAGTGGACATATTCTAAAAAGTAATGGTATAAGATCAGAACCAACATTAATTTTTTCCCAATTAAAAACCAAAGAAAAGGTTTCATTATTAAGAACCAAACAAGAACATTTGACCCTGGACTCAAAGATAATGATTTGGGCGATTTGTGGTAAATAAAAAACCGTGTAGACTTTCTATAAATAAATTACAATAACAGTTTAACAGAGTGCTTTGAACTTTGCTGCTGCTTAACCTATTAACTATTTTTTTTCATATATGTAATATATGACAGGTCAGTGGGTTTGCAAATAGATGTACAAGCTTATAGATTTGAAACCCATTTGCAAGGGGGGAAGCTATTATTGTTGCAATAGATTTGTCAGTATTTAGCTAGGAGAAATAACATGTACTTTTGTCCTTGTTTTAATTCACCTTTTCTTCAATGGTTTTGTTCAATTTTGTTTAATTATTTTCTTTTGGATTTTGTGTTTAACTTTCTTGAATAAAATTATTGACAAAAAAAAGAACCAACATTAAATTTAATTTTACGTACTGCATACTTCATACAGATGGGAGAGGAATAGTTATTAGTCTTTTCTGAAGGCCATCTGCTGGGAGGCTTCCTTGCCCAACTGGTTGACCACGGTGTGAACAGACTGCTGGAATAGAGAGGCCAGGGGTTTTGTCCAGCAGAGCATTGCTTATGTTCTTATATTCAAATTAAATACACTTTATATGATAACTTTCCACTCATATCTTCTGGATGCCTTACTTTTGCTTTGCATGGTGTAGAAAATAGAGGTATTGGTCAGCTATTTTGCACAATTTTTTAAAATATGTATAATTCACTCATTCAGTTGAAAAGAAGATTGAAGCTGATTGCCCAGTTTTCACATATGAGAAATATCTACCCGAAACTTAGAAGTATTTCCAAATCGGCCTCAACAGATATGCTCCACCCAAATCCCGATTTGAGTCTTGTCTGAAGGCCATCTGATGGGAGATTAGTGGGCTTTCTTGTGCAATTGGTTAGTCACTGTGAGAACAGACTGCTGGGCTAGAGGGGCCAGAGGTTTGATCCAGTAGAGCACTGGTTATGTTCTTATATTCAGATAAAATATAGCTTGCATCATAATTTTCCACTCATGTCTACTGGATGCCTTCTTTTACTTTGCATAGTTAAGAGATGTGGTGTGGAAATCAGAAATCTTGGTCAGCCACTTTTTCACAAATTTATTTTATATGTACAGTCCATTCATTCAGCTGAAAAAAGTGGGTAAATTGGATGGCCAGTTTACACATACAAGAACTATCTACCTGAGACATACAAGTATTTCCAATTCTGCCTCAAGAGATATGCTCCACCCAGATGCTAATATAGGCAGTTTATTAAGAGGGAGGAGCAAAAGGAAAGCTGAAAGTCCACAATGATGAAAAAGCAACCGGATCTCACAGTGCACATTGTGACAACTGTGGCAGAGGTAGGAGATCCCTGGCAGAGGTGGCGAAGAAGTATCATACAGCAATCTCTTTTTTGTGGTGTTGCATATGGGCCTCAGATCAGAGATGGAAAACTTAGATGCCCACATAATACAAATTTTATCCTCACATACACAAATCTTGCCAAATTAAACTCCAATTATTGCTCAACATTGGCCCTGATAACATGAGGTAGTCCTCATTTAGCAACCACTTATTCAGTAAACTTTCAAAGTTACTACAACACGGAAATAGCAATAACATTAGCACCTAGACTTATATACCACTTCACAGTGCTTTACAGCCCTCTCTAAGCAGTTTACAGAGTCAGCATATTGCCCCCAACAATCTGGTCTTCATTTTACCAACTGCAGAAGGATGAAGGGGTGAATCAACCTTGAGCCCGTAAAAATCGAACTGCCAAACTGCTGGTAGCCACCAGTTAGCAGAAGTAGCTTACAGTACTGCATTCCAACCACTGCGCCACCATATGAGTGGTACTTACCGGTATGACTATCCTCAAAGTTCCAGCTGTCCCACCAATTCCATGGTCATGTGATCACAATCTGATTGATTGGCAAGCAACTTGCACCTACAACAGTTGCAATGTTCCACAGTTATGTGATTGCCGTTTGTGACCTTCCCAGGAGCCATTCCACTAGCAGAGTCAATAGGGAAGCTGCCAGAGAAGGTTGCCTGTTGCTTTGGTAAGTTGCTTGCACCCTCCAGCACTTGACAGCAGCCACCCCTGACTCAAAAACATTTATTCAGGAAGAAGGCAAGAATATGTTATTTACAATTGTGATCCCCATTGATTAAGCAAAATAATCAACCCTTCCTTTCTTCTCAGACCTAACCCTTAAAATATAGCCTGCATTGCCCAGGTAGAATGGCTCTAGTGCAGTACCTGTCCTCCCATCCAGCTCCACATTGATATGAATCTACATTGATATGAATCTATCTATAATAAATGATGAAAAATGATAGCGAAGTCTCCCCATATTTTTTGAGAACAAGAGGGTCTAAAGACTTCC